ATCAAAATAACTCACCATACTCCAAGCAAAATACTAAAAATTTAAAAACCCTGCATTTCAAATATAGAACACTACACGGACTCCAAACCAAATAATAATTTTTTCATCTTTTCACAATAATCATATCCACTTTCCTTATCATTAAATTTTCTATCATTTATTGTGCATGCCCTATGTAACTCAGCACATTCACCACAAGCTTATCTTCACATTTCACACTCACAATTTCTTCAAGGGGCACTTGGTTGGAGGGGTTGTGGTTCTACTCATTCCAAATACAGATGTTCTAAAAATTAAGGCGTTAGGTTGACTGAAAAGTAAATCCCAGTTATTTCCTAAATAAAATTAAATCTAATTATTAGTTCATTTTTAGAGTACTCTGAAATCATTAGAATCAAGTGGTTTTGAAATACAATGTGACTTGCTCTTAACAAACTCTAATTAATCTCTTCTTCACCAATGCATCTTGTCGATCCCATCAATCCAAGCCTAAAACAAGTTTTTCTCAAAATCTTCTCTTTACCTTCACCCAATGTAAATCATATTGATGCCTCCACCAAGTGAGCTCCCATTATGCTTTCCTCATTTTCTTCACCCCACAAAAATCCTTTTGGAGCCTACCCCAGTAAACTCCCATACTAATTCGTTCACATGCATTGATTTAGTTGATGCTTGCCAAACAAAAGCCCCATCATGATTTCTTTACATGTTGCCAATCTCATCGATGCCCTCTTAAGTGAGCTCATTGTGTGATTTTTTAATCTAGGTTATCTTTTAAAATGTTAAATTCATTTTAATTAGCAATAGAAAAATAAAAAAATTGATCTTAAGAATTACAAATGCATTGCATTCAATTTGAACTACAATTAGAATATCCCTAAAATTTAAATACTTGCAACAAAAAAACTCCTATCCTTCCAAATTTTATGAACATCCATCTTTACATTCTCATTACAACCACACTCAAGCTACCTATTATTGAATTTTCAATGCTCAAAACTGAAATGCGTATATTATAGTTTAAAGTGGATAAAGGTGAGCCAAGTGCTCTCTTAGGTTCCTGGGAGAGGGAAGACAATAGCACCTCACTTTGTCAGATGGGCACCAAAACTAAGGCATTATCTAGGCGGGTGCCTTCCCATAAAACATGAGGCAAGTTAGCGAGAGCGTACTTTGATTAGAGAGATGAGACAAATATTTCAAAAAAATATATGAAAAATGAGATTGAAATGGGGTGATATGAATAGAGAATTAAGAGTTGGGGGAAGTGTGAAAGGATGATAAGAAAGAAGTTTGATCAAATGCATTTGCAAAAACTTCAAGATATAGAGTAGTAAATCTCAAGAAAAAGGAGGTTGAATCATAGGAGAAAAGAAAAAAGATAAAGGGTTATAAGTTTAGTGATGGAGAACAGAGTAGATAATGATTAAATTGAAATAGATACCAATGAAAATTAAATCAGCTATATCATGGAAATCTCAGAGTTTCCAATCACCATTAACATAAGTTACGCATGTTAGGACCAAATCAAAAGATTTCTTTTGTTATTCACATTTTTTTTCCAGCTTAAGTTTTAGTTATTGTCTTTCTTTCATTGAAACCTCTATTTATATTATTAGTTTTTTTTAAGGCTTGTGGTTGGGTCTTAATTTGTGCTTGGAGTCTTTGTTCTACAAAGGTTTTTTTGAGGCTTCAAATTAGCCCTATTGCTGGTATGGAATTCCAAGAAATTTTAAATATTACATTATTAATTTAATGTATTTTGCACCTATGTGCAATTAAACTCAACTAAAAATGGGTTTCCATGTTCTAGTCTATGATGGCTTATTTCTACTGTAGTATTTCAAAGAGAAGAATCGTGGTTTTTTCGATTCACATGATTTCTACTAGCTAACTTTTATTTTTATATTTTCTATTGTATTGGAAAATCTAAAAGCAAATTGGTATAACAAAGAGAGGTACAAACTATTTAAGAAATGCTTGAGTAGTTTTTTAAATAAATTGTTGTAGATGTACCATTCATTTAGGTCTATACATTAATCTTGTAGAAGACTAAAGACCATTGGGAGAACTTATCTCGTTATATGGGCAAGAGGCTTAACTTGGCAAGTTACTTTCTCTTATTTGATATCAATTTTAAATATTATTATTGATTACAAGAATAATTAAATTTATTCAAGCCGAATATAATATGGTTCTCTATACACTAATGGTTTTCAATTAATTCCATAGTTTTAAGCATTGTTTCTATATAAAGCTATTTAATTATCATTCACACAAACATTCTCCATGCTTTTTCAACTTCATATCAAGTAACCAATGATTATCCAAATTAAAAGTTTGTGGCAGACACAATAATGTGCATCTACATGATATTGATCATCTCATTGTAAATCTGCATTAACAAACTATAGCCCTAATAAAGCTAGATCAATTAATGTTAAACATGTTTGTTTAACTTGTTTTTTCGATAGATTGTTTAAGGTTTAGCATAATCTTGAATCATATAAAGCAAAAAATAAATAATAAAATAAAATAAAATAAAAGAAGAAATGTTAAGTACTCGATACAATTTAATATTGTGGTTATCATTTTATATTTTTCAAAATACTTATTCATATCTAAATAGATTTTTTTTAAGTGAAATAAATTTTTAGCGCCTCACATTGTTCAAGCCAATGCTTAGAATGGCACCTAGAGTGTTAGGCAAAGCATAAACATCACATTGAGAGCTCATAGATCTTTGAATAGACTAGCCCCTTCAAACATGCTTCAAAAGATATCTTGCCTAACAAACACGACAATCATATAAGCCACGATTTTTAAGTTTTGTAAACAATGATTCATCCAATAAAAAAAATATATATGAATGTAATTATTAATCTTGATGTAGTACTACCATGATTGAAACTCTTAGATTGCCTGACAACTACTTCAAAAGTTAACTATTGCTAAGTAAAACATATCTAACAAATATAAATTTACCTTTTAAATACACATTTTTTGGCTTAAGGCCTACTAAATTAATTATTATGCTATGCTATCATAAGTCTTCTCAAGAGCAATGAGCATACCATATGAAGATCTAGATATACTTCTTCATATTTTTCCATTATCTATCTTATCACCAAGTATCTTCTATAACAAATCTTCCTAGTATAAAACCAAATTAATTTTTCATTAAAATATATGATATTTCTAAAACTTAAAATTTTATTTAATGAAGTTGCCAACCAAACTATTCCAACATCTCATATTAACCAAATCTTAACAAGCACCTCGTATCACAACATTACCCCTATGCATCTTCTTTAATTATTATTTAGTTTTTTTTATCTATATGAATTATTACTCAAACCAAATTTTCATTCAAATATAAAATTTACAACAATTTTTGTAACCTTAGTTTTTATCAAATTCGTAATAATTTGCTGATGACCTGCATCAATGCACAAACATTTTATTACATATATACCATGTTTTTCTTTTAAAATTTTTAGCGCTTAATCAAATATGAGCCGTAACTCACTAAATAACACACAATCGAGTTGTTTGTATAGTCTAAGATGAATTAAATCTATACTAAGGGGCAATTTGGTTGGAAGAATTTAGAGTGTACTGTTATTATTTTGCAAGGATTTTAGAAAATTAAGTGTTTGGTGTGAAGAATTACAAATACAAAGTAAAATAGGAATGAATTTAAAATTTACACCAAAGTTCCTTTTGGCTGAATTTAAAATTTAGCAAGTTTAGCCGAATTTGAAATTTATACAGTTCATTTATGTAAAATGCTACCGGCACCCCGCCGGATGCCATCCTCCACCCGCCAATAATACCTTGTATATTTTGAAATCTATTGTTTACAATCTACGTCAAACTAAACAAAATTCTACGTTTATTTTATAGTGAACAAAACAACTCCAAAGTATTTCAAAGATAATACATTACTTTTATATAACATCACGTGAAAAAGTTGACAGCAAATTTTGGAAAAATTAAAACCATATGGCCTAGCACAATCGAGATATTTCAATGAAAGTATATTATGGGTTACAAAGGACATTTATTCCATAATTATAGGTGCTGAAACAATTTAGTAGATATTACCCATGAAATGTCTCCTATGGTGGTAGTAAGTAAATACTTGATGTGTTTGTATTGTCATTGGTGATGACAGGTGGTTGGTTTGTCATTCTCTTGATAATAGAGAGACAAAGTGACCACTGAAAGGTATGTTGAATGTGGTGCTTAATGAAGCATGTTTTAAAAAATGAAAAAAATGGAAATAGTAAAGGAAATAAATTGAAATTATTTTTGAGTAGCTTGTTTGGTTGAAGAAAAATCAAGTGGAAAGATGAGTTTTTCTTTGTCAAGATGTACATACATATTACCAAATTCCTATGTATTTACGTATCTAATACTCAAAGTTTAATTTTTACATTTATACCACTTTACTAATATTTGAAAAGGTATGTTCCAGTTTTAAAAGTTAGTAATGGGGGTATTTTTGATGTGCTATGAAATATTTGAATTTTATAAATGCTAAAATCAAATTTTGGGTGTTAGATAAGAATTGTATGTAAATTTCCCTTTCCTTTCTTGTTTTATCCGATTGAAGAGCCAACAAATTGAAAAAAAAACGAATGCATAAAACCTTATTAAAGCTTTAACGTTACATAAGAATTTTATGTATGTAAATCTTCCAATAACATATGCCATCCACTTAAGTCCTCCACACAAAAACACAGACTAATTAAGGCTTCAGGTATTTGCTGGACCTGTACTCTCCGCATCAACACTCAATTAATTACCAGGGGACGTAGCATTCACAGGCACAGCTAAGAAAACCCTATTTTCTTTACTTCCCAAGCCACACACATGAAAAGAAAATCCTGGGCATGTTCTTGCACAAACAAAACCCTAGAATCACTGGGTGTCCCGTCCTCAATTCGAATCGGTAACTTAGAAAGGAATAGAAGTAAGTAATGAATGAAAATCACCTGCTTGACGGATTCAGCGATCTCAGGACCGATACCATCGCCAGGAAACAGGGTGGCGCGAATCGGATTTGTTTGGGAAGCAGATTCAGCAGTGGTGGAGAAAGAAACAGATCGAAGGGGGTTAACGATTGCCCTGCTAGAAAGGATTCCGATCGATCTCCCAAGTTGCCGGAGGGGAGCCATCGGCTACGGTCTCGACCGGAGAACTCGGGGAAAAATGCGGAAAGCTATGATAGCTATACCGGATGATAGCTAAGTAACTTCACATGTTCTTAAAACGTGTACTTTATTTAATCAAATTAGCTAGGCTATTTAAATATTAATTAGATAACATAATGAATTACTACTATGATTAAAAGAGCCAAATGTTTAATAATTTTGATGAATAATTATAAGATAATAACCAATCTAATAATTAATCAAAATATTTCCTTAAACTTAATAAAATTATAATGTCTAGTTTGATCATAAATTGAATGAATCACAAAATTAAAGTATTCATAGGGTACTTACTTTGCATCTTAAGAGAAAGGATAATCATTTTGATGTATCTATGAAAAAATATGTTTAAGGGCATTTTTTTCTTATGAAATTTATTTCGGGCTAAGGAAAGGGTAACAACTCTATCCAACAAAATTTCTTTTCATTCTATTAGGCTAAATGAAGGAATTGCTTAAACATGTCTTTGTAAATGTAAGCAACATTATTTTTCATAGTTTTATTCTTGCATAGAAGAGCATGGCTCTATCAAAATGAAGGAATTGCTTAAACATGTCTTTGTAAGAGTATGTTTGTTATATATAATAAAAAAAAAATTCATGATGGAATTAATTTTGGATGCTCAATTTTGTGTTATTTCTCATTTAGTATAAGAGTATGCTTGTTATATATAATAAAAAAAAAATTCATGATGGAAATAAAATTGTTTTGCAGTCTTGCTTTCTGTGAGGAATATACACATACACATATAAGAAATTCATAATGTTGGTAGTGATTACAAAAGTTCACTATTCCACTCAATTTAAAAAGATGAAACTAAAAGACATAGAACCCAAGTGTGATCTTTTGTGATTGTAGATGGGAATATTTGAGGATTATCAAAAGATGGTGAGGATGATTGGTTAATGGTAAATATATAATGATAGTTGGATGATGAAAGTCAAATGATAGTGAGCAGGTTATGATAGTTGAATGAAGATTATTAGATGATGATAATCAAATAAATAAGATCAAGTGATCATGGTTTGACTATGAAAGATGAATAAAAATCAATAAATTTTAGATCATATGGATCAAATGGCTCTTGAACTCAACCTAAGGGTTCGAAAATGAAATGATGCCAATGAGAATTGATGCTGACCATGTTTGTCTTCTACGCGTGGAATCAAATAATGGCCATCCATTAGAAATTGTCTAATTATTAATAATGTAGAGAAGGAAAGTGTGATATTTTCATATTACGGAATGACTTGTGTGTGTTGGTTGATTGAGCTTAATGAGGTTCATGTTAGCTTAATTTTGGGCTGACCCAACCATGGTCCTCCTCCAAGGGTTTCTTGTTGAAATTTGCAAAGGCATGAGGTTTGCTGGGCTAGGAAGAAATACTTGTTGCATACATCAACTTTGGGTGGTTCATTTAAATTCATGTTCAACTATGTTTGACCATATTTAGATGAATTGTGCTAACCTTGTCTAACCTATTATTTGAGTTCTAATTATTATGTACGTCAACAAAAATAATTACTTTATGTGATTCATGTACAAATTTAGCATAAGGTTTAAATCCATAGATTTAAACATTATGTTTTTAGGGTTTAACCGATGGTATGAAGGCTACTTGAAATAAAGTTAATGTGAAAAAATGAGTAAAATAGGCTAAGTCAATATTTCCCTAAAATTTGGAACAATGTGGAAGCTAAATACATTAATCAATTGGCCAATGTTCTAGGCTAATAAGTCCACAATAAGTCATTTAGGCAAAATTGATTATTATATGCTTAATTTGAGTTTAGTTTATTTAATCTTGAATTCAAGTGTATCAAACACTTGTTTTAATCTAAGAAAATGTATTTGGATGTTAGATAAGACTATTGGCTTAATACTGACCAATCAACCCATGGAGGGTTAATTGATGGTTTAACAAGCTTTAACTTCTGCATCAAACCTTTATTATAGAACTTAAATCAATTGATGTTTTAATGCTTGTAAAACTCTCATTAATAATATTTCTTTATATAAAGGCATTATTAGTGGAAGAGTTGGATTTAAAGGTATAACTCTAGGTATGTGTAGATATGAGTGAGAGGGTAAAAATCTCTAAACATAGAAATGAAGGCTTCTTCTTTTTTTTGTATTAGAAATACATAATGAAATGCATCTTCAAGTGTCTCAGGATTAAACTTTTAACCTTGTTCCTAATTTATATTCTATGATTGCTAATAGGCTTATTAGCAGACAAACAAACAGTATTACAATAGTTAATTATAGTTATGCTCAATCACTTATTGAACCTAATGGTTATCAAATTTTATGTAGCTTCTTATCATGATGGTAAGGGAAAAATTTTTCCCTAAATATTTCTTTAATTTATACCCAACTATGATTCACTCTATCATTCTCTCTTTCATAGTTGTTAAATTATTATAATAAAAATTAACATAACTTATTATTTCATATTAACATATCTCACCCTTTGGTAATCACCCATATCATAAGTTATTCCATTTTATCAAAGAAGCCTAAGAATTTATTAGCATTAATGACACCTTCATGAGTAGATGTCTCAACTTTAATATCCTAGAAGGATCAATGTTTCTTTTATATCTGTTCCCTTTTTTCCTTCTCAAAAACAAGGACCCTCCTATTAAGATCATATTTAAGGGGAAGGACATGTAAAACTATAAAGTTAGGGTCTAATTGATGCTCAAGAGGGAGTTTGAAATCATGTATCCCATTCACTACATTTGGACCATCATTTAATGCATTTTATTAATCTAGTGTTTGATGATTTTGTTATTTTATGGATTTTTGTGTCTTGATCTCACTTTCTTGGACCTCATAATTAACTTGGATTATTGGTATGCAACCGTGTAATATATTTTAAAGAAAAAAAAGTAGTTGGGAGCTAACCTTACTGAAAACACAATTTAGCAAAACAAGCAATGTGTCAATAATACATAAAAAATACTATTAATGTTTCTTGCATTACTTTTTTAAAATAATTAGTATAATAATATAAGAATAAGTAATATTTCAGCAAATAACTAGATGAGCATGTTTACATTAAAAGTGCTAACGTTATATAAGCCTTGATAATGGGAATTAATTAGTTCAAGTTGCTTATCAACTTGAGATTAAGCTTGTCATTATCAATCTCAACCAATTAAATTGAATCGTATCAATAACTTCTACTGTGGCATGTAGATTGTTTCTAAACTTAAGCAATTCATTTTTACGATTGCAATCTCTTTCCTTCCCTTTTTATTTATAAGTTATTTCTTAGCCATGTCTAGCTTGAAACTTTATTTTATCACCTAGCCCAAATTCTACTGTGGCATGTAGATTGTTTCTAAACTTAAGCAATTCATTTTTACGATTGCAATCTCTTTCCCTTTTTATTTATAAGCTATTTCTTAGCCATGTCTAGCTTAAAACTTTATTTTATCACCTAGCCCAAATTGATCTCATAAACAATCAGAGGATGACTATAAAATCATTAGAGACTTAATAAATATATTAGGAGGAACCTTTTTATCATTCATTTCTAAATCATACCATTTCCATCAATAAGTTTGACCTTAGCTAGTTCTAGAGTAGACTTATTTTCATGTTAAATACTAGTTGATCTAAGTTGACTCAGATAGTAGACTAAGAATATCCACTCTCTTATTAATTAGGATGTATTCTTATACAATATAATTAACCATAAAATGTCTTAAGCTTAACCTATGGATCAAGTTTGTCATATAGTCAATCTAGCCCTAATATCTCCTCAATCTGGAACTTATTTGTTAACATTAAATCAAATGATTCAAAAATTTGTCCAAAACTCTTTCATGTGAATTAGATCATCAAAACATAATTGATTTGACTTATCTATAGCAATCGAGTTAGTTGGATGCCTTTGAACTTACTCAAGAATTAAATATTAAAAATTTAATCAAGATAATTAGGATATTTAATTGATTAAATTTTTTTTTATAAAAGTATGATAGGTTCAATATTATACTTTACTAATAGAATATTTGATATTATATTTTTTGCATTTGTTTGTGCTTATTTTTATGTTAATCAAAAGCGTTTTCATCGTATAGTAAGCAAGTGTATATTCTGATATTTAACAAACATGTCGAAGTTAGTATTATTGTATCCAAAAAATTGTGTGCTAATGGTAGTAGTATTTTCTGATGTTGATTGTAAAGTTTATCATAAGAGAATTTCAAGAGCATATCGGTTCATAAGATCATCACATAAATTTTTGTCTACTATGAAGCACAACTATAGGCCTTGGTTCATCATAGAAATTGAGTACATAGATATAAGTAGTTGTGTTACCCAATATTGTGGTTAGAGTAATATTGAGAAGGTTATGTAATTAAGTTAGAGTGCATTATAATTACTGTAAGAATACTAGTGCTATTAAGTTAATTAATTTTCATTTAAACATTCAGACCAAATGTAATGAAGTTTTAAAGCTTTAAATTTAATTTAATTTTAATTAATTAATCATCATAACTTTAAAAAATCAATAAAATTTAATAAAAATTGAGCTTTACCAATAAAATTAAAAGCTTTAAATTCTCTTATTTGTTTGGGATTAATTTAGAAAAGTGCAAATCATTTAAACCCTAGTTAGTCCTAATTAGGAATCTAAATGCTCTCAATCATTTGAGGATATTTTCTTAGGTCATTTTTTACCTTTGGAAAATTTCCACAACTATTAGGGCTTTTGAATTAAGAATTCCATAATTAAAACCCTAAATCCACTTTATTAACTAAATTAATTAATATCACTAAGTACATTAATTAATTAAATCTCTAAATAAGTACACTTAAACATAATTAAACTTGTCTAAATTAGTCATTTAGAGAGTGTTATGGAGTTTAAGTTAGATTTAGGGTGTTTAATTATAAATTTAAATTAATTAATAATTAATTAATCAACATAAAATAAACCCTAAATTTAAAAATTACCAAAATATAAAAAAATATCAACGAAACATAGCCAATGAACCATCTTAAAAGTAAAAACTTATTAAACCCAAAATTGAAATATTATAATTAATATGTCATTATTTGGAATTAAAAGTTTAATTAATTAGTTAAACCTTAGGAAATTCATATGTCATAAAATATACTTGAAAATCACATACAAATTTTTTTTTTTTGGAGAAGATCAGCCTCACCTACAACATCCCTAACAAAGTTCATAAAGTTTGATATTGATAAATCTTTAGTGAATATTAAATTATTTCATTAAGAAATAATAAAAAAAACCAAATTGAATCCAAATGATCACAAAATTTCATCATAATTCCCTATGATGGCTCTCTTTCTTAAGACAAATAAAGATTAGAGTTCATTTGATAAGAAGTATCAATTGATATCTCTTAAAACAATTAACTTAATTATAAAATCAAAAAAATACTTAATTCATTATTAACCTAAAAATACATCAAATTTTAAAAATTCATTAAAATTAATTTACTCAATCAAAATTTATGAAATATAAATAATAAGAACTTTGAGGTCTAAATAGAACTGTAAATTAAAATAAAATATTTTAAAATTTTAAGTATCTTTTTAAATTTGTAAAAATAAATAATTCAAATAAATATAAATTAAGTCATAACTCACTTAATTTAACTCTAAGATCTATAATTTTTATAGGAGTCTAAATAGAACTGTAAACTAAAATAAAATATTTTAAAATTTTAAGTATTTTTTAAAATTTTTTAAAATAAATAATTCAAATAAATATAAATTAAATCATAACTTACTTAATTTAACTCTAAGATCTATAATTTTTATAGGAGGGTTATGATTGCATCTCAAGTCTGCGTGTAACTATTTAGAAATTTAGAATTAATTATAAATTTAATTTAAGTCATAACTCAAATTAACCATAGCATCAATAAAATTTCTCATCCCATTTTGTAAGTTCTTTATTAAATGAAGATAATATTAAAGATTTAATTGGATTACTTTCAGAGTTTAATGATTGCTTTACATGAACCTTTGATGAAATGTTATGTATATCTCCTAAAAATAATGTTGCATAAACCTAAAAAATGGCTTAATTCCATTCATATAAAACAAGTAATTTAATGCTTGTGATTGGAGGATGAACAACAAGTCATAATTATGGTCAAGCACTTGATTGAATCTAGTTTTATCTGGAGGAGAAATATCTAACTTGGTTAGCTACCAATATTCCATGTAGAAAAGAAGTCCCATGCATTGATTTTAGGGCTCTTAATAAGGTGTGTCGTAAAGAGGAGCACCTGTCATTTATTTTGGAGCCGATGGTGCCTCCTTCACACTCCATCATGGATGGTTCATCTTGGTATGATCAAAACAATATGGTTCATGAAGATAAGAAGTTCATTATATTTCAAACCCTAGTTGGAATCTATTTTTATATGGTCATGCATTTTATCTTTAAGAATGTTAGTGCAATCTATCAATTGGCCATGGTCATAATCTTTTTTGATCTCATACATAATCCAGTGGAAAACTACATAATGGTTTAGTGGTCAAAAAGCAACGAGAAAGATCATTTAGAAGATCTGAGAATAATCTGTGAGCAGTTACAACATTATGATATGTTGAAAAATCAATTGGTCATGGTCTTTGGTGTAACTTCAACGAAGTTTTACAAATTTATGGTGAGACGCCATAAGATGAAAAATTAAGCTATATAAGATAGAAGTAATATTAGAAATATAACTTCTTAAAAATCTAACAAAATTAAAAAATTTTCTAAGGTAGGTTAGCATATATAAGACATTATATTTTGAATATATTTCGTAAATTTTAACTATTTTTAACGTTGACTGAAAATGATTTCAAATTTTACTAAAATGAAAAATGTTAACATGCATTCAACATCATCAATTAATACTTAATGTTGCAAGTCACTAATTTTATACACTACTACATTAGATGGTCCATTTAGTATCTTCTTAGCTCAAGTCAATAATGAAGGCAAGAAAATACACTTTACTATCTGACTTATCATCCAATCCCTGCCGAAATAAAATATCCATCAATTGAGAGATATTATTTAGCATTTATCTTTGTAGACCAAAAGTTAAGGCTTTATCTGCTTTCTTATAAGATATATTTAATTTCTAGGTTCAATCATTTGTCATATCTAATAACTTGACCAACATTATCTAGCTTGATGATTAATGATATTGCTTAAATATAATGTAACATATATTCTACATAATATGAAAGGTTAATCTTTAGTTGACTTCTTAATAATATATGTTTTTCATGTATGCTTATCTCTAGATGATAACATCTCAGATAAATAAGTCATTAGTATAGAAATAGAAGTTAATATCTAGTTAGAATTTTACTTAGATTGTGTGGCATCCTCACTCACTTTATTTCAGGTTTTGAGGCGCCCTATCTCCTTTGTTACAGACTATGTCCGCACCTTCTAGGCAAGTTTACAGTTTGGTTTTATTAGAATATAAATCATCACATTCTAATAAAATAAATATTTAAAAACACTAAATCTCAATTTCTAAATTTTGAAGTCCAATCACATGATAGTTGATCATACAACCAAGCCTGTCAGTATCCAGTGTTTCTCACCCTTCCTTGAGCTCCAAAACACTTACCTTTAAACAGCTGAGTTCAGGAGACTGAAAATTTGTTTTGCTTGATCCATTAATAGATTTGGATAGGCAAAAGGGGAGAAATCTAGCTGATGAATCAAATATACTTATGAGCAAGCTGATGGCAAAAACATATTGATTAGAAAAGTGGGGGCAATGAAAGGAACTCAATATTTTTTGGATTTATCAATTTGATATAAGCTTCTAAAACCTCTTTTTTTTTCCATTTCATTTCACTCAAATTTCCTTGCATTCAAAAAGCATCACAAAGTAAAAGTAGATCTAAAAATAAAAAAGGGCATTTGAAGCATTAAGTAAAGGAGATTTTTTAAAAAAAAAGCTATACACCATCTATTATCAGCAAGGCTGGACTGAGGCTACAGAAGCAGGCATTTGAACAACTGGTTTGGGTTGGAGGCCAGGATTTGAATCATTGTTAGGCCCATGCAGATTATGCTTTATCTTTCCAGGCCGTGCCAGCATCTTCTGTGGATGAGCATGGCAATCTCCCTCTATTTCAGACTTCCTCTTCATATTCTTTTTCATATCTGCAGAAACCATTTTGCTTCCACCATCTGAAATAATGTCTGAGCTGTTTCCTCGAGCGTTTTCATGGTGTTTGGATCCAGATCCTTCGCTCCGATATGGAGATGGATCGTTCAGTTTGTTTTGAGAAGCGGTGCTTAGATTTGGAATCGGCTTATCCTGGAGAGGACGGGGAACCAGATGTCTTTCTTGATCAGCTTGTGGTTGAGTGCTCGGACTTGGCTTCTCCAACTTCGCTGTTGCTGTTAACTTCTTCCTTTCAATCCTCTCTTTATTACGAACCTGAAGCTAATTTATAAGTAAAGGGGTCACATATACATGGATTTATGCATGAATACTTGAGAATTAATCTTGGTAGTTAATAAGAACAAAAAATCAAAGCAAGAACTTATGCGAGAGAATAAAAATTTATTATTGGCTCAATTAGGAAACGGGGTAAAAATTTAGAAGCATATGATATGATTAACATGAATAGATGTATGAAACTATGGTAGATGTAATGAACACCAACATTTAAAAATTAAAAACATTAGGACGCGCGATTATATTTGATTAAAATAAAAATATACAACAACAACAAAGCCTTAATCCTACTACGTGGGGTCGGCTACATGAATGCTTTTTCTCCATTGTGTTGTCCTATTTAGTGTCATATTTTAGTGTCATATTTTCATTTAGTTCTAATAAACTAAGATCATTTTTTATACATTAAGCCCAAGTTTTCCTAGTTCTATCTTTGTCTTTCTTAACATAAATTATAAATATGATCAAACAAAATTAGAAAGACAGTAGTGAAACCTTATGCTGTCTGCGCTTCTTTGCCCTGTATATTGCATCCCTGATTCCTAGATTATCCATGTAACCAGGAGGCCATAGCTCTGCAAACTGAAATACGGAAATAAGCAAGTATAACTCAAAATATGTTGCAGAGTATGTATATACATACATACATACAACATACATACATACATACATACATATATACATAAATTACATATATATATATATATAAATATTACAAAGAAATGGCCGGAGGCTATTATATGAGCCTTGATCATCTCTCGTGCGCCTAAGACTTCCAGTACCATACCCTACAATCCCCCAGACCAGAGAAGACTTACAACTGACAAGCGATGCCTGGCCAACTAATCTAAGTAAACGGCACATATATATATATATAGAACAGGCGCATCCAACTTAAAAAGTGTTTATTCATGCATTCAAGAGGAAATAACAAATATAAAGTAATATAGAAACCCAAAATGAATTGGAAACAAAATGCCATCCCAATGACATCAATCACAGGAAAAAGGGGGAACGAAGGAGCAATGAAAGATGATGCATAAAAGATCATGCCATTCACCAATGCGAGCTTCAGAATTCAGCTCTGAAATTAGATGCAAAATGTTTAGATGACATGAGATACCTCAACATAAAGTTTTCTGCTCTGTGGGCCCTTGTCTTCATCCATTCCCTGGAAGAGATAGGTGAGATAAATAAAGAGTACGATGATTACAAGTTGAGTAAGATTGAAGCCAAAAGGACACGCACACATAATGCCATTTTACCTGACAATTAGTTTCAGAATAGAGTTTCTAAAATGGAAATCAATACGCTTAACCATGATTGGCATAAATAATTTTTTGGTTTAAAATGTTATGATTACTTCATCGAGCATAAGAAAATAATGAATGAAACATGCATGAGGATACTCAAAATATTAGTATCATGAATGCTTGCCGAAAAACAATTTCCATGGCTGCTTTTCAAATAAAACGTAAAGCACACGTAAAGTTTAATTCTATGAGCATTTTTCTTATAAAATATGAAACAATATGAAACAGTATTACTCGTCCAATAATGTAGATTATTTAAATGTTTCACTAAAGACAAAACAATGATGGAATCCCAAAAATTTATGTCTGCCGAATTTCGTTGGGTAGAAATTAAGATCAAAGGTCTAGATTTTAATTTAAAATCTTAAAGAAGAAAATATGTTGAAATAAAAAATCGATTGTAAAAAAGGTCTCTCTCTCTCTCTCTCTCAATTCTAAATCCAAGACCAACACTTTTCCATCTACAATAACCTATATATTTGTAGATTAAACTTTTCATCTATAATGATCTAAAAATCCGTGGACATTAATTTACCATAAACAGCAATTTACCAAGTTCTGAAGGACAATATTTTATTTATGTTGCGGAGTTAAATTTGAATTCCTGAATTCAAGATTGTTTTTTATATTTATTTATTTTTCCTTGATAGTGTCATCTCTTTAGCTGTTTATGCAAAGCTTCTCATATTATTATCTACAAAGAATTAGAGAATAAAATTCAATCCTACGATCTTCTAATCTCAACTCTCACATTATTCTAACTTTTTAAATGACATCAGAGCAATTAAGATTGTACTTCTTGTGAGGTCAAAGGATCCTGCAATATGCAGTCTCTCCATGGTGGTAGGCATCGACATTGAAAGTCAATCATGGTTCAACAATAGCAGAGAAAAAAAAAATGTAAATGATGCTCTTGGAAAGAAGATGGTATCACCTACAACAATGAAGTCACTGGCCAAGAAGCTAGCAACTACAATGCTAGAAATCAACTTGAAAAAAAAAAACAGATCTAAAACATAGAAAATCTATAATGAAATAATAGATTAGAATTTTCAATGAAAAATAACAATAAATACAAATATCAATAATTATAATTCTGTTCTAAAAAATCTTAAAAGCAAAACAACGAAAACTATTTTCTCAGTAAAAGCTTATATTAAAATATTCTCAGAGAAATCTTTTTTGACAGGAAATAGGGAAGTCCTTTGAATATAGCCTTTTGCAAAACATACACGTAGTTTCTATCCGAGTCAAAACTAAAATCCTTCCTAGCCTTTTGCATCAGCACAACGCCATGCGTGAGAGCCATCTAAAGTAAAAAAAATAAATCTAAAGTTAGATGATTTATTTATTTTATATATGATCATACTAGTTTCACTAGGGTCATCTTAATCAAAGAAAATTTTGTAGCCGATCAGCTTTTTAATTATTTCAATATTATGATCCACACTCAATTTCACCACCAAATACAAATAATAAATTTTCAATACCAAAACATAATTTGAATTTGACTCGGGAAATTATCTCCTACAACAAGGAATCATTCACCAAAATGCATGTGTAGACACCCCTCTAAGGAGATGTTGGGAAAAATAAACACCTCGTACAAATGACTAAATCACTAAAACTTTTAAGTATAATTTAGGAGTAGATAATACTAATAGCCACACATTTCACTAATAGAATGCTCTCAGGTGCACTTAAAATTGTAAGACCCTGTTCAAATCCATCTCTGATCATTTCCCAATGTCAAAAACATTTATTTTCTTCCTCCAAAGTTCTTGGTGTTCAGTCTTCAAGGACATTCATTCTCAGCACTGGAATAAATAAAACCATAAATCTATTAAGAGCAAAAGTTTTTCGGATACATCCCAAATTGAAAAGAATACAAATATTATTCCCAGACCGCTAAAAAGTATACAAATCCACGGAAGTAATATTCCTTGAACACCAAATCTGAAATCAAATAAAAGAAAATGTAAGAACAAAAATTGCAAACCTACAACTTATTTGACCATCCATCACCATCACTCATCAATATTATAGATAATAAACACTTCTAATTTCCCATTAGTCAACCTACTACAGGATAACCAAAATCATAATCTCCCTCATTACTGACAATGAACCTAACTTATAAGGAATGAGCTTCTTGTCTTGCCAGAAGAAAACAGATAAAACAAGGGAAGCAATCAACATATACTCAGCATGACAAAGAACCTGAACATTTTCAAGGCTAATGAGGAAGAATCAAAAGATGATGTTACAGATCTCCACAATCTAACTGATTTGAGGAAAGAGGTGAGATCAAGCACCAAATACCAAATCAATGATTTATTAAAATCTTTTAATTAGATTTCACGCTTTTTATACTTCTCTTGACACAAATTCAAAGTTTCAAACAATGTTTATGAAGCTTTTAAGACACTTGGGTGGAAGAAAATTATAACGGAAAAAAAAAACGAAGTTTAGACAAGAATGTAATTAGAAAGTTCTTGAAATTTCACAAGGAAAACGACCAATTAGATGCAATTATAAAAATAATGAAAACCTAGATAAAATTAAAGCCAAACTTGTTGCAAAAGAGCACACCCGATTATCAAGAAACATTCTCTCCAAGTGCCAAACTCAACACAAAACAAGCTTTGCTCTCTGTTGTGTCAAATTTGGATAGGCTATTATATAACCTCGACATTAAGAATGTTATTCTTAACAAGGATCTTGAAAAGAACCAATCCGTACTGGAAAATCATAGGAATGACAATAAGAAATGTAGACTCGAAAAATCTTTATATGGTTTTAAATAATCTCCTCATCCTTTGCTCAGCAGATTTTTCAAATATGTTGAGAAGTTTTAGTACATTTTATATCAAATTAAACAAACCCTCATTTTAAGCACTAAGCTCAAGGAGGAAAGGTTATTCTAATCATGTATGCAAATGAAATTCTATAGACAGGTGTCATCAAGGAAGAGCTAATTAGATTCAAAAGGTTTATGGCAAGGGATATTGAGGTAAAAGATTATAAAATAAAAAAAATACTTACTTGGTATGAAAGTGGCATGATAAAAATAATGTATTGAGATTTCCTAGAGAAAATATCTTCTTGATTTACTTCAAAAAACATCAATGCTCAGAAAAATTGAGATCACAATTAAGAATATGCACGTTCATACAAATAAGTATTAATGCCTTCTGAGCAAACTCATTTGCCTCTCTCACACCCACCTTGATATTGGATCCCATGTTAGCTTTATAAACTAACACATACCCCACTAAAGACCATGTCAAAACTGTCAATGACATTCTAAGATACTTTCTAATGACCCAAAAAAAATACTTGCTACATAAAACCCATCCAACATGTGAAATTAAAACATTTCCAAAATTTGAGAGAGGTTGAGAGGCATCAGACTGAAGATTGACCTCTGCTTATTGTACATATAAATGGGAAAAGTCGGAGTTAAATGGAAAAGTACAATGATTTGTGGATCTCAAGAAGCAGAGTAGAAGCAAGTATATGGCCGGCACTTGGTCATTGTGAATATAGCAAAAAGAAATGCTAGAAGAACTAAATAATGAAGTAGAAACATCTTTAAAAGTGAAAGGTGGTAACAATCTATTAGAAGTATTGTAAAAAAAATTATCCACCATATCAAGACTAAAAAATTGAGAAATACTAACATTTCATCTCAAAAATACTAAAAAATGGACTAGCTCAATCACTTATGTTCAAACAAACTCTCAAATTATGAATTACTTCATTACGGCTTCACAAAGTGCGAGTTATAATATACTACTCAATAAACTGAATATCACTAACAAATAAGACACAAGTTGAGTGACGTTGAAATAACTATAAATCTGCAGCAATTCAACAAGCCATAGATGGCAGCTTTTCATCTACAACAATCTAGCAATCTATAAACAATTTTCCATCCACAGTAAGCCAGTAATTTATGGATAGTCAGATTCTATTTCTCGTGTAGATAATTTTAGATTGCAGAATCAATGACAGGATCTCATATTTAATTTTTTAATAATTATTTCTTGACCTATTTAAGCACATCTTCTCATTTTATTTTTTTTACATAGAACGTGGGGCTATCCTCTCTTCTCAATTTGATTTTCAACATATATGAAAATAAAAAAATATTGTGCTAAATATAAATTCTTCAAGCTTAATATACTCAAAACTAGAAATACATTTTACAGATTTTACAGTACCTCAACATATAAATCATAGAGGTCACAAAGCTTTTCTTCCAATGCAACATCAATGCTGTATCTTCCAGTTAAGGCCTTCCTCTCATCAGTGCTAATAGCATTCTGAAAATCATCCGCTGAACCTTCTAGTTGATCAGGCCCCTATTAAATGGAAGAAGAAATTTGGCAGATAAAACAGAATGCAATAAAGCTTCACGTGTAATGAAAACATACAGATTCTTTCAATAAGTTCCACATAGTTTTCCAAGGGTCAATGATAATATAGTTTTCAATTGAGGAAAGAACAGCACCATTACACAGCTTCACAAGAAATTTCATAACAGCAAACACGTGCCAACCTTGGATTTCAAAATTGAGACACGTAATTTTATCATTTGATGGACCTCCTTTTTAATTTGCTGTAATTTGTCAGCCTTCTGTTGTTTTGCAGAAAGACCTAATTCGACCATCTCCCTCATGTTTCTCTGCAGCACATAATCAGTTGCTACATTAGTTACAAGTTAATTTAAACCGGAAAAACATAAAAAATATAAGGGGCATTTATGTACATACCACCCAATACTTATCTATTTACGTATTTAACACCTAAACTTTGTTTTACATTTATACCACCCAATCATTATATCACATAAAAAAATACAACTATTGTAACTTTAAGAAAGTGAAATACACCATTTCACGCATAGGCAACGTGACATAAATGTAAAAGTTGAAGTTTAGGTGTTACATATGTAAATACACAAGAATTGAGCAGAATGTATGTATATCTTCCTAAAAATAATTATCTAAAAATTCCTTAAAATTTTTAGGTTACAATATATCACTAATTTTGCTAAGGGTAATCACAAAAGATATCAGCATGTTCGCAACACCTTTCTTAAGGTAAATTTAACCCAACGAACAATTAAAGCCATACTAAATCTCTAGTGATACAAAATTTCTTCTTGATCACACCAAATGAGAATGATGTCATCAATATAAATGTGTCAGAGTTTGAAGGTGCATGATCGAAAAAAATACAAAGAACTACAATGTTACTGCAAAAGTCAACCTCAGCAAGAGCTTTACAAAATTTTTCAAAACCATAAAAGTAAACATGTGCAGTTCTCCCCCTACGCAACATAACCAAATGATAACTCCATATAAATATCTTACTCAGGTTGCAATAAAGGAATTTCTTTTTTTCTTTTTTTGCAAAGACTATCCTTAATAGGTGTTGAACTCATTTTTAGTGAGGTCTAGTCCTCCTCTTAGAGTTTAGGATCTAGCCTTAGGGATCTCGCTTTGACTATCTTAGAACTTTAGAAATGGGACCCGCCTCGTTTTAGAAATTCAACCCACTTCTGTACTCTTTCGTGGTTTCACGTGTGTGGTATGAACTTCTAGCACTTAGAAGGATGAAACCAACATGAGGAAACCCAAAAGGGATTCCTCCTATAGGACCTTTTGAGCTTTAGGGCGGCTTTTTGCACAATTCGCACTCCCGCGCCCAAAACTTCGCAGTTCGGAGAGTCGACACGTCCGATCGTCACAATTCACATCGCTTACACTGTTATCTGTCGAAGACTCGAATAAACTTTTTGAAACGATCGATCGCGGGTCAAAATTTTGTGAAATTTGAATTTTGACGCGTTTTTGACCTGATTGTCGACGACGTTGTCCGAGCAACCCCGGATGACAAAACGGACTGCACCGGCGCGTCCAGAACGTCGACTTTGCCTAGGGAGGACACCCATTTTGTCGCGTCGCCGCGCGCGAGTGAATCGTGTTTTAATTAATTAATTAATTAATTAATTAATATATATATATATATATATATAAAATTATATGCGATTTATTCACGCGCGGCGTCGTAACAAAATGGGTGTCCTCCTTGGGCAAAATCGACGCTCCGGACGTGCCGGTGTAGTCCGTTTTGTCATCCGGGGTCGCTCGGACGACGTCGTCGCCAATCCGCATATAATTATATATATATTAATTTATATAAAACCATATCCCCCTTTCCTTTTTCAGCACTAAATCCCTAAACGCACGCACACGAGCTCTGCCTCCCTTCCCTCTCATCCCTTCCCTCTCTCGTTCGCGTGTCTGGCATTTCCCTTTCTCGGTCTCGAGCCAATCGAGCTCCTCCTCCACACGAGAGAAAGTTGACTTCTCATTCGTCTTTTCCCGACACTTCCTGCCCGCGGCCCTCCCTCCCCAAATCCAGAATGTCGATTTTACCTAGGAGGGACACCCATTTTGCTAAGGCACTGCGTGCGAATAAATTGCATGAGATTTAATATATATATTAATAAAAAATGAATCCCTTTTTTTCCTTTTAAAGCCTTAAATCCCTAAACTCACGCACCCGAGCTCTGCTTCCCTTTCCCTCTCCCGTTCGCGTGTCCCGCTCTTTTCTTTCTCGATCTCGAGCCGACCGAACCCCTTCTCCTCCACGCGAGAGAGAATTGACCTCTCGTTCGTCCTTGCCTGACACTTGCTGCCCGCGACCCTCCTTCCCGAAGCCGCGTCAGCTTCCACGAGTTGCGATTTTCCTTTCTTGGTAGTTTGACTCTGAGGAACTTGCTCACTGGAACACTTGAGTGACAACTTTATCTTCTTTCCGATGCCTCTCTCGCTGCCACTCGACTCGTCACTTGGTCCTGGGTACTTCGGTTGCCTCGCCTTCTGTAAGCAGGGAAGACGTTCTTCTTCTTTTTTGACCCGATTTGAGTACTGAAGAGGATGTTGGTTGGCTTCATTCTTTCCCCCTCTCTTCTCTATCTTTGAATATAGTTTCTTTTGGGTTTTGGGGTTGTTGAGAAGTTTCTTAAGGAGAGGGGAAGTGAAGATCTTTGCTTTTGGAAGATTTTGGGAAGGAGATTTCTGTGGGAGCATCTCTTTGAAATTGTTTTTGCAGTACAGTGTTTTAAAGATCATATTAGAGAGGTATCTATTCTTCCCTTTTTTCTCTTGTGCCCTGGTTTCCTACGGTTTTCTCTCTGTCAAACCCCTTTTGCTCAGTTCAGTGGATAGTGCAGCATGCTTATGTGATATCACACTTATGTTTTCTTTAAAATACTTGATACTCAAGCATCAAGAGATAAAAATATGGGCATATTCTAGGAGCAATACTTGGTTACTTGCTTAAAGTAGTGAAGTTATGGCATGTTTCTGTTTATTGTAGCACATTTATGTTGGAAGCAATTAGAAGAGTTAGACATGGCTTTGGAATAATTTTGTTACTCCTCTTGCAAGCATGTTAGGATATGAATTATAAAGCTTTTCATCTATTTTTTTATTTAGCATGAGATATGGGAGAGGTTATTTGGCCTTTCATGCATGTTGGGGTTTCGGCTTTGGCATCTTATGACTTGCTCTTACTTAAAATGAATGCTAGAGAGTTCACTTTACTTTTTATTTTTTATTTAGCATGAGATATGGGAGAGGTTATTTGGCCTTTCATGCATGTTGGGGTTTCGGCTTTGGCATCTTGTGACTAGCTCTTACTTAAAATGAATGCTAGAGAGTTCACTTTACTTTTTATACATACGTGGGGCCGGGGCTCGATTTAGCTCCTCATGAGGCATCTCTCCTGTTCAAATATCTGTTGGAATTGTTTCATGCTTGAAATATTTAGATATGCAGGTGATTCCTTGGTTTGGAGGCTTGGTTTTGGCTTGAAATGGCTAGAACTTTAATTTTTATGGAAACCTGAATTTTAATATTGCTGGACTTGGCTTTTGGTTCTTGTTGAGCTCTGTTTTGGCTTT